GTTTGAGGTTCGGATCGTTCGAGGCAGGGAACTGTGAGTCAGTCAACTGTGTCTGAGAAGGAGACCTGCTGCGACCACTGCAATCAGATTGGCAAACTGGCAAACTCTATCGAATCAGAGATTCTTCTCTCGGAGAAAGAGAGAAGAAACCAACCAACCAACCAACCAACCAGAACAGTCACCAAACGTCTACACGCGTCTGTATAAATCAAAAATTTATCAACTTTATTACTTGTAACACTTGTAACACGTGTCGTTTGCCACGCTCGCCATCGGTTGCAAAGGTTAACGCCTTCCCAAATCGGCGATTCTTAAATTTCTTTTTCAAACAGTATTTGCGCAGTATTAATTAAGCAGAGTAATTTTATAGTAACAAACAGCCATATATATCTCTTTCATCGCGGCACAGGGTTAAATTATTAATTATCAGAGAAAAGAGGAAACTGGAAACGCGAAAACAGGTGGATTTGACGACAAATTGGTTGACGACCAAAATCATTGAATCAAAATTGGCCGAGAGAAATTACAACAATTACAGGCTGCAAAGGGTCAAACTATCCTGAATTTATTTATTTCAAAGACCAGTCGGATCAAGCTGTTTCCAAATTGGCGTGTGTAGGATATCATCGGATGAAACAAAAACGTACAGATATCGGTAGTGTTCGGTTGCCATCGAAAGTAAAATTTGGCTCGTCGATAATTACAGGAAAATTTCAACTGTCTCAACCTTTTAAAATTAGCCGCATCTAGTAGTCTGTCGGTGATGACACTTTGAAAAGTGTTTGAATTTTAAACAGCCGTATTACGTAGACTTTTTGTCAACTTTGGGAACACTGGTGTGGGAAAGTTTTTCAATTGCAAAGCCGCGACAAAAAGATTCTTCCTCGTGTCTCTTACTCTTTACTCTGAATTGTTTTGACAATTTTCTCGATACACGTGTGAATCGTGATGGCGATTGAGCGAGCAGGGGGGGGGGGGCAAAGGAGGAAGCAACAACAAGTGTGAAAAAAGAAAGAAAGAAAGAAAGAAAGTGAAAAGAAATCGATATCGCGTGAGCTGACAGAACTTACAGATATCGGGTGAGATCTTCGACGTCGACGAGCATCGAATCTTGCTCCATATGTAGATCGTCCCTTCTCAAAAGTCCCTCGACCAGCGCCTCGTTCAGTGTGGCGATCCTTGCGTGCAAATCGTTCGCCACTACCTGCAGCTGCGCCACATTTAGCTCTGTCAAAAGCACTCGGGACAGTCTGCGTCTATCCTCACCCAGTTGGACGCCAACCTACGCATGAAACGCATCATCTTTTTCCTTTCCTTTCCTTTCCTTTCCTTTCCTTTCCTTTACATTAAATATCCCTGCTCTTTCGTTCCTTCTTCTTCTTTTTATTCTTCGATCGACAACAACTGTTTCTTTTCGTTTCGTGGAAACACTGAAACTAACACGCCAGTCAAAACGACTTTTCCTTTACAATTTTGTAAACTTTTAAAATTTCCATTTCACCTTTCACATTCTATTCTTTTTTTTTTCTTTCTTTTTCTCCGCAACGACTTTTGCAACAACTACTAAAGAAATAATACAAGGAATTTCATTTTATCTTTATTTATAAGAATACCTAGACTTTCGGTCCGTTTCTAGACTTTCCATCAATCATCATCTTTTAAAAGAGAAAAATTTAAATTTTTAGACAGCAGTGTGTCATTTCATCGAGGTATTTGTACGGAAAAAAAAGAAAAAAAAAAGAAGAGAAAAAGCATCAATGACCAATGAAGAAATGACTTTGGAAAGAAAGATATTCTCATCAGTTGTTGGATATACACCCATTGTCATTCCAGTGTTGGAGGAAAAGCTACTTTTGGCAATTCGAAAAGGTACATATTTCGATGGATCACGTTTTTAGCACGTTGAAGAGCACAAAAACTGCTTGAGATTGCTCGTCCGAATTTCAGAAGAGTCATCACAACTGTCCCTTGTCCTAGATTCGCGAAACATTCTACGAACGATAGCCCC